ACAAGTTCATTTATAAGATCTGAAATTGTCTGAAAATAGTTTAAATTACTAAAACACTTTATTTACCTATATATTACAAATAAAAGATAAGTTAATTCCAATAGATTCCTGCATGATATTTTACAGTGTATCAACAGAGTGTTTTTAGGTCAACAACCTGTAAAAAGCCAAGCTGATGCATTAGTTTTTCCACTGTTACAACATTTTGTCACCATTACTCAGTACACTGACCTTTGTAAATGAAGTTCAAGAAACAAGGCAATTAATCTCAATGTAAACATACCACATGCTGACAAACTTCATGAAATACAACTACAGTAATCTGCGACCTGACCTGCACCTTTTTTTTGTATTGTTTTTACGTATGTATTTAATATTTTACACTTTGGGTACAAATAACTCAGCAGATCTGATGGTGATGAATCTTCATAAAACCCATTTTGATAGTTTGGATTCTGTACAAATATTTCACCCCATTAGCCAAACACAACACTTTGGGAAATCGATTCCCTCAAGGACTTTGATTCCTGTCAGCCTCACTGGTTACACTCAGGTGGGCCACTCTTTTCTTACCTTGTGGACCAAAATTTAAGGATCGGTCAGAGTGTTGATAGTGTTGTTATATATGATAAATTCACATGAGATAAACTGATTGTTAGAATTTCACAAAATAATGATTCCTTTAGCCAAACACATTACTGTTATTTGTCTTAACAGCTTGAGAGTACACTCTCAGATTTAAATGCTTATAATAAGTAAACTGAATTCAAATTGATAAAACCTCTAAAATACACGTTTGAGACAAGTACATGTAATTAAAAGTATTGTTATCTACATGATATTCCATCATTTAGATGATGTTACCCAACATCTCTACAAAAGTTACAAGAAGGCCATACACAAAGATGTCTTCCTGCATGTAAGAGATTGTTTTAAAATGACTTGACACTTCCCTTTAGTGTGCTTATAAAATGTTTGCTGTACCAGTGCGCTGTCTTCGTTTAATTTTCCTGTGCATGTTAAATGGAAGGGAACTTAATGAATTAACTTGGTGACTTAATATTAAGTTACCACAGCTGGAATTTCATTTATCAATGCACAAAGAACCAATATAATATTGTGTCACCACAACTCCTTAGAATTGTTTTTGGAGTTGAAAAAGTTGAAATTGCTGAATTTTCATTCACATCATCCAATCAGTGATCGTAATCAGATTTGGTACATGTGAAACAATATGTACATGTGTGAGTCACTTTAGGTCATATGTCAGATTTTATCACAGATGATCTGAAATATCTGCATTGTACGTCCTACTGTGTGTAGTTGTAAAAGTAGTTTGTTTTAGTTTTGAGACTCCTCAGCAAGGCATAAAGGTCACATCAAAAATGTTCCAAAACACACTGCACAATATGAAACATTGGACTTATTCATAGCCAGGGCTTAAAATCCCACATGTCAAGCAGATTGAGTGAAAGGCTACTATACTGTGACTACAGCGTACATTGTATTGTCTATAGCTTTTTTGCTTTCACTTGGGCTGTTTAGCTCTTGGCTTGTCTGTCACTGCCTTTGGTTCTGCCTGATTTGCATATTAGGATACTAACTGCTGCATGTGACATTTGAAGGGAGGAACCCTTTACACAATGAAACCTCCAGACAGAGTTTATAGTGAAGAATCTGGTTAGCATCAATCAAATCAAAATACACTAATCTTAGTACAAAAAATAATTATGTAGAGTTTGACCAACATGAACATGAAAGACAGACAGACTTCTTTCCTGTGGAGCTTCTAGTTTGTGTCAAAATCTTTGCAATCTACCATTTCAATGGCATTCAAAATTTTACTTAGGTTATAGATTAAAAAGTGTAATCAGCAAAATGAACTTAGATAAAAGTACTCATTAGGTGGCAGAACCACCCCTGTCAGTGCTACAATATCACATATTGTAATATTTGATTATTATTATTACTGATACAAGATAATATCAGGCTTCATCAGTCAGAGTCAGACAAATCAAATGTCTTCCAAAGTTACAACCTTTTAGTACAAAATACCCTCTTTTGGTCCTATGGATGAACTTAGATTGAACAGATTAAACACATAAAGACCTTATATGAAGTATCAAACGTGCATCTGTCTTCTCCTGCTTATACTGGTCAGCATTACTAAAACCATAATACATATTCTCTATGATTTGCCAAAAATGATTGCATCCAAATTTCCAAAAATAAATACCTGTCAACATTAGTCGTTTGACAAGATTTAATGCAGTTCTGAAGGGACGGGTTGCAAATCCTCAAACACATGGTTTCTAATCATGTGAACACAAAAAAATTTTGTCTGCTGCATGATGAAATAAGATTTTTAACACCTCCCTCAAGTTACATGGAAATACCTTCGGAACAATGATAAGTGTTGTCAAAAGAATGCTTGGCTCAGCAACTCGAATGTAATGTTAATACATGTGCTGCACACAACCTTGAGCTACATCTGTATGTGTTAAAGCTGTGCATCCACGGCTCATCTCAGGGACTAAAACAGCCAAAAAGATCAGTTCACTGCTCACTTTTAATGCTCTAATGGTCTTTATGATGAGAAGGCTGAACACACACACACACACACACACACACACATGCATGCACCCACTCTCACTCACTCACACACACACACACACACACACACACACACACACACACACACACACACACACCCCTCATCTCCACTGCTGAAGTTTCTACTTTTCTTACTGTAAGTGCATCTGTTCTGGCTGGTGGCAGCGTGTCTGTCAAGCAGATGAGAGGATTTGTTGCCACAGTGGTGAAAAGGCAATCTCTCAACTTTCACCTTGACACTTTAGCCTCCTTTGATCCGAACAGAAAGAGCTACGATTGCTACTTCCCTCTCTCTCTCACTCACTCAAACACACACATTACAGAAGAGGTCGATCCCTCTGTCAGCATTATTTGGCTTTATGTGACCTAACAGCCATGGTTTGTTGGCAGTTTTAATGAGCTTGGTTTATGTCAGGGTTGAGGTTACCATTACTGGAACATGGGCCACGTGTCTCTCACCTCCGTCGCCGGGATCAGATAACACCTCTTCCCCTGTCTCAGGCACGTCCATTAATGTCAAACTTTGGAGTTTTAATATACTAGTACTGAAAATGAACTTTACTGTTCCCATGCCTGCATTGATACTGTCAGAGATTTAGAGATGAATAATGACTCAGTAGATATGATCTCAAAGAATCAGTGACAACAACTTAATCTTTATCTAAACACTTAAGATTTGCTTCCTGTTATGTTATGTTATTTGTGTAAATCAAATTGTATTTTCCTCTCTTCTCTGGTTTCCCTAATTTAAAAGAGTAGATGGATATTTTGAAAAATACATTTATTCTCTTTCTGGTGGAGAGTTAGATGAAAATCTCATGTCTGTCTTAAAAAATATGAAGTTATTGGTAGCAGCAGGTATCTTAGCATCAAAATTTGGAAAGGGGAAAATTTTTACACTTTTTTATATGAATTAAACAAACAAGATACTGTGTTAATTAGAGAACAATAGAGGTCCTAGTAGGTGCACTTCATCACCTTTGCTACCTGTTTCCTCCTGTTCCCAGTCTTTAAGCTAAGTTAAGCTAGCCTAAAAACAAAGCTTTGTACCTATCATACAGGTATCAGTCCTCTCATCTAACTTTCAGCATGAAAGTAAAGTATTTCCCAAAACATCAAACTATTGCTTCAACAGTTTTGCATGCCCTTTGATTTGAATTGATACTGACTATATTTCTAATAACATATCATCTAAAGCAAATTATACAGACCCCTGCTGAGCCAATCAGTGACAAGATGCATCATCAGCCTGGAAAATGCCACGTTATCAATATTAGACCAAATGCCACTGAAAAATAAATCCAACTGACCCTGTTTTTCATCTCTTCACAGGAGAAAATCCTCATGCACAATGTCAGACTCCTCGACATTTTCCCCCAGCAGCAGGTCTCAAACATCAACCCCCCAGGCCAACCTACACACCTGTGAGCCCCGTGAGACCTCCTGTCAGCAGATGGCAGAATCACGGGTATTGAGCTGCCTCAGGCTTTTCTTTTTATAGGACCAGGGTGTTTAATTTAGGGGGATCTATTGGCAGAAATAGAATATAATACTCATTATGTTTTCATTAGTGTATAAGCACCTGAAACTAAGAATTCTTTTTGTTTTTGTTAGCTTAGTATGAGCCCTTCATATCTACATACGGAGCCTGCCATGTTGCATCATTCTATAGTAGGCCAGAATAAACAAATCAAACACTGGCTTTAGAAAGGGCCTTTTTATGTTACCTGAAGGCCACCAACCAAGCTTGGATAGCAACTGGTAAGGGGAGAGGTATTCAGTCAGTTGCAATCTGCAACCTCACAGCTAGATGCCACAAAATCCTACACAGTGGTCTTTGAACCCAAAAGAACCTCTTCTGTGAAACACTGGAAAAAAGGTTCTGACTCTGCTTTGTAGCTGCTGTTTGCACTCAGACATTAGTTTTAAAAATGGAAGTTGTGTTTGTAAATTGAATTGAATACACGCTGACAATAGTCTTTACTTTCCATGGCCTTAAGGACAAATGTTTTTACCTGCCATTGATCAGAATTTCTTTTCTTTTTTAAGGCCAACTAATCACACCTGGAGGACAAACAGTATTTAACTCTTAAAGCAATAGTTTGACATTTTGGGAAATGTTATCTGCTCTCTTGCAGAGAGTTAGAGGAGGAGAATGATACCACTATTGTGTCTGTATGGTGAATATGAAGATAAAATGAGCAGGCGCTTAGCTTAGCTTAGCATAAGGACTGGAAATAGCTAGCCATTTTGTGGATATGACAAGGAGGTTTGCCTGTGATGACCTGTCAGAAAGCATTTTTGCATCCTCTTAGCTTTGATGGGTTAGTGTAGATTTTAAATTAATCTCATAATCTATGAAGTAATGATTTATATTCACAGTGATAATGATAACACCACAGGCTAAAGAGGGCAGGGATGTCTGCTTTACCCAGCAGGAGACCAACACCTTCAGCCTGAGGACTGCAGCTGTGAACAGGAACAGTTCAGGGTCTGGACCAGCACCGGGACGAGGCCCCGCTGAATCTGACAACCTCCACCTGTACCGCCGACAGTTCAGCGATGGAGCAGTGACGGATGCAGGGTGTCTCCAACAGTGCTCTTCTTCCATCAGCTGTCTGCAGGAGGGGTTCAGCCCGGACACTTGTTCATACAGCTCCAGCAGCGAGGCACCACCACCCTGGGACCAATACAACATCAGCATTCAGGTTTCTAGTCTTACAGTACACTAGTTTCACCTGTTATTTCAGTTAAGGCTTAGTGTAGTCCAAAATAACAAGATGATACCAGGAGGGTGACTTAACAAGAAACAGTGTGAATAAACAGAATCAATGACAAGAAATGTGTTAAAGATACACTACACTCTGTTCCTCATATAGCAGGACTGGTACACAGGCACACAAACATGCTTGCACACACAGAACACTTTCCTTTTATTTTCTCACATTTGCAGAGTTCGTACCCAGAGCTACCAGCTGGGCCAGGGACGCCTTCCTGCTTCCTGTCTCAAAGCTATCCATCCTACTGCTCATCGAGCCCTATACAACCGGTGAGCGAGGGACACACACAGAAACATTTACCTTTATGATTTGAGGGTATCACGATAATCTGTGCGAACCGCAGTAATGTTTGCTAGTTTGCTTCAAAAGCAGTGGCCCTGCCAGGAAGCAGTGGTTGTGATTATCAGAAACTACTGGATGACCACACTCTCAGTGAAAGCTTTATCATGGTGTGTGTGTTTGTGTGTGTTCTCTGCAGGTCTCATCTAGACTGTACTCTAATAATGACCAGACCAACAGCTCAAAATATTCTCTCCAAAGTCTCCCCACTCAGTCTCCCCAGGAGAGCACCACACAGCCTCTCTTTCCAAAGCCCATTTACTCGTACAGGTAATACTGCATCACACGTCACCATGTAGTCATATTTAAAGCAACAATGTATAGAATTCTTATGTGATCATCACCTTCAAAATTAATCTGATGGCGTTTTTGCTAGAAAATGGAAGTGCTAATGTAAATATGTCTCCTTCATCAATGCAGTATCTTGATCTTCATGGCTCTGAAGAGCAGTAAAACAGGAAGTCTGCCAGTCAGTGAGATCTACAGCTTCATGACTGAACACTTCCCATATTTCAAGGTACCACAATACATGTTTTCTTTATCACACACAACTGAGTTTAACCTCATGCTCTTCAGAAGCACAAGCAGAAATAATTATAAAAAAGTTTGGACATTTGTATGGTCAAAATCTGTACATACTACAAATATACCAATGGATCTTGTGATTGTATGTTGTGTTATTACATAGGACTCTGGCTACCATGTTTCCTCTGTAGTTGCACCTCTCCCAAAATTTTTGATCTTTAAAGAATTCTTCAACTGGAACAGTTGTGGCTCAGGCGGTAGGGTGGGCTGTCTACTAATCTGAAGGTTGGTGGCTGGATGCCGAGCTCCTCCAGTCTGCATAGGAAGTTTCCTTGGGCAGATACTGAACTCCAAACTGACCCTGAAATATTATCAGTGTCTGTTTGAGTGTGGTAGACAACCGATATGTGTAGGAAATAAGCACTGTTTGAATGTGTGTGAATGGGTGAATGAGGCTTGTGTTGTAAAGAGCTTTGAGTCGCCTATACTAGAAAAGCGCTATGTAAACGCAGTACATTTACCATAGTATCGTCAGTGTGCTTCTGGAGATGTTAAAGCCCACATTTCTGTAGCCCCTGCTGTTCCCCGGTATTGACCCTTCATTTTTTGTGGATAAACCCAAAAATGACATACCCAAAATAAAAAAGGTTACTGTTCTCTAACCATCTTGATTACTGCCATAATCCTGGGGTTCTTTGAGAGGTAACTCTTTAAATTTTACTACCAAAAAATTTGGAATAAGAGATACCGAATCAAATGGCAGAAAAGTAAGCTTTTTTTGCCTTGCCTTGCCTTTTTTCTTGGCATAAAAAGTATGATGCCTGCAGTAGGCCTAATACCTTTATTTAATTTTTTTAAATTGAAAAAAAAAAACAAAATTCAACAGGTACAATTAATAAACACAACTGTTTTGTTTGAAATATGACAAAATATAAGGAACCCTATAGCAACAAGTTTGAACCACAAGTGTTGCAGTGATATTGTTGATCCCCATCCACAGTGATCGTAAGAAGTTGTCTAAAGACTGAATCCAGTACAGACCAAAACACAGGGCCAAAGCATCCTATCAGAGGAATGGTGTATGGTGGTCATGGTGGTCAATTTTTCCCCTGCAAGTTATTTTAAAATTTGTTGAACTATTTGAGCTTTTTGATTTTTTTTATTGGTCTTCATCTTTATCTGTTGAGGTGACATTTGGGACCTCACCTTTACAGGTTGGTATATAAGACACTCTGTTTGTGTGTGTGTGTGTGTGTGTGTGTGTGTGTGTGTGTGTGTGTGTGTGTGTGTGTGCGCAGTTTCTGTAGTTCAGTCAATAATCTCTCCTCTGTAGCCAAAGGGCTCACGTTCAAGTTTACCCAGGGTTCTATTGTTAGTAAAAGATTTCCTCAAACCACATCTGTGTTGTAGCTGACATTAATTACTCCCATAATATCCCTGTAATGATTAATGACACTCTTTAAGCAGCAGTGCTTTACACCTGCAGCTGGGTGGCTCTGGACCAGCTGGACAGGAACCTGTTAAGGCATGAGGCTGGCACTGGGAGTAAAATGAAGGGCATTCTTGTATCTGTTTAATATTGCCAGTGTGTGTGTGTGCGTGTGTGTGTGTACAGGCAGGTTATGGGGCTGCTGCAGATAGAGACAGATATAAACATTTCATTTAGTTGAAATGATAGGGTAAAACATGCTTATATAACATGTTATATAAAGTCACACCCTTGTGATTTAATATTGATGAAGCGTGCGCATGCAGCTGTAGGGTTGGACCTCTGTTTGAACCCTTACTCACCACAAATAAGTTCACCTATGGAAAGAGCTCAAAGACTTGACATTTATATTCAAGAATGTACTTCATAGATGGCTGCTGTCCAAACAGCTGTCTTTCACATTAAACACAGGCCGTGGGGCCATAAAATATATGAGCCAGATAATATCGTGATACTCTGAGGAAAGTCAGATGTATTTTGCAAAAGCTGTGATTTTTGAGATACATCGAAATAACTGGCCCACAGATATGAATCATTGCAGATGGTGGACAAATGAATACATGTTGTAAGGTTCCCTGCAGAGGGGGCCTGGTGTCCTGGTTTTTGTAGAATAGATTTCAGTGAATTTGTAACCACTCTCTCATAAAATTTGAAGAAGCATGTTGTCTAATTTGATGCATGGCCACTTAGATGCAGTCAGGTAGCAAAAAATTGGCAACCATTTATGATAATCTGATTAATCTTGTTAGTCATTTTTGAGGCAGAAATGCCAAACATTCACTGGTTCCAGCTTCTCAGATGTGAGATTTGATGATTTTCTTTATCTTATGTGATAGAATGTCATATATTATTCAGTGTTTTGGGATTTCATGGGACCTTTTTCACTATTTTCTCACATTCTATATTGAAAACGATTTGATACGTCTAGTTTGCCCACTTGGTTGTGCTCCCTACTTTTCCTATAGTACAATGAATTAATTGACACGGCATTACAAAGCTTGAGAGCTGCTTCTTTAACCCTTTTCTTCAACTCTTCTACATTAAGCCTATCCTCTTTGGTTTCAGACAGCTCCTGATGGGTGGAAGAACTCAGTGCGTCACAACCTCTCCCTGAACAAATGCTTTGAGAAGGTGGAGAACAAAAATGGAACATCGTCTCGTAAAGGCTGTCTGTGGGCACTCAATCCCGCCAAGGTGGAGAAGATGCAGGAGGAGTTGCACAAGTGGCGACGCAAAGACCCCATCACTGTTCGCAGGAGCATGGCAAGGCCAGGTGGGTCCCCTAAATGCATCACAATTCACCATAACTAAAGAACAGGAGTATAAGGATTTTACCATTAATTTGCTGATCTGACCATTACTTTAAATCAAATCATAAATACTCAAAGCTGGATGGTAATTTCATTACATACCTGTACAGCACACACTTGCACTTTAACTGCTCTTTTGCACTTCTGGTTAGATACTAACTGCATTTCGTTGTCTTAGTACGTGTACTCTGTGCAATGACAATAAAGTTGAATCTAATCTAATCTAATCTAATTATTTGATTCAGTTATTATTTGATACACTCTCTTTCCACAGAAGACCTCAATCGTTTACTGGGAGAAAGACCGGACAAGCTCAGGTCTTTGCCACCTTACACCAGCCCAGCCCTCTTATCCAGAGTATCCCCAGTCTACGGCACCACTTCGTCATCTTGCAGCCCAGCGCAACTTCGACCACCCTGCCAACCCATTCGGCGCCCACAGTATGCCCATATTCAGCCTCAGCAACCCTGCTACCTTCCCCCCGCTGCAGCTCACCCCAGCAACTCATTCACCCTGTCCTCACCCTGTGGACACCCACCTGCAGCAGGCTTCCCATCAGGAGGCCTGAACTCCCCCATGGCTGGGAAGATACCACCAGTTTATAATTCTGCCATGCAGGATGAGTACAGTGTTGGCCCCAGGAGCATGCAGGACTTGATGTTGGAAGGAGATGCCATTTATGACATTGACACACTCAACCCCAGTCTGATTGACCTGCAGCTGCAAGGTATGACAGTGCCAAAGAAAACCAAGCAGCCACATGAGCTTTCACTGTGGCAGTCTAATGAGAAATCAGGCTATGTATGACACTTCATCCAACTTCTGCAAATAATCACTTAATATATCAACTGATGTATTGCCATGGCTGACATTATCAGAGAATATTAGCTTACAAGATAATTAATAAGTAGGATGGGTATAATTGGTATATGTTTAGGTTGCGTGAAAAATAACAAGAATTTGAAGTGCAGAAATGATAGATAGATATGTTTAGGTCATTAAGAAAAACTGACTCATTTACAAAATTTATAGTCCACCTGGTAAATATCTCACTCACTACATATGTCAAATTTCTTTAAATGAGCTATTTGTAAGTTTTGCTATTGCTACATAGCTAGCATTAGCATTAACAGCTGTTCATTTACCAGCCTAGAAGTAACGTACCTTTACTCACCAAGAGCTGTCTCCAGCAATGGAAAGCAACACCAATGTTAACTCTTGTCTGTATCACGTCTTTTCTTCTACTGAAGTTAGCATGCTAACCAGTTAGCACCGGCCCATCTTTTTGTTACTTTCCGATATCAACTCACTGTAGCCTTCAATCTGCCCTGAAGACGTAGCGCTACTCTAAAACATATTATAACCTCCTGTATCAATATTGTCCAAAGCTCCTGTCAAGCGACAATCACCACCACTTGCTCCCAGCAAGAAACCACGTTTGGTTGCTCTTAAACCAGACTTTTGAGCAGGTAGAGCGAAAGTGTAATTAAAAACACAAATTATGGGTCAGTGTCATTTAGGTTTCCCAGTGAGCCACGTCAGTGAGCCACCATGACCCCGAAAGTGGAGCAGCCAAATGGGATTCAGCCGTCATTCATCTTATCATTTACGCCTGTGTTTTCCGACTGTGACATGTCAAAATATCTTCCAAGTAGAAATAATGTGACTAGAGTTGCAATCGCAAGGCAGCCTAACCCTAGTTACCTCTCATGTTTCACAGTTACATTCAAGTCACAAAGCTAATTTGATTTTCCAGAAAAAAACCCACCTGCTGATCTTTGACAAAAGCAGGAGGTGCGTTATCAAAACTCTCCCACAGTTCTTCTCAAAGTCCCCTCTAACCATCTGGATGAAAGAAAATCTGTTAAAAATCTGTTGTCTGAAAGATTTTTAATTTGTTTCTTCTCATGTTTTTCTTGTAGTGTCTTGTGTTGTAGTGTCACATCCCATCTGTTTTTGCCAGTTCTGTTTTCATTGTCACTAACTCTCATGTCATTTCACACCCGGCTAGTCTCCTCTGTCCTGTTCCCACTTACCTAATCATCCCCTCTGTATAAACCTCCCTGTTTCCACTCGCTAGTTGGCAGACTGTCTTCTTGCTCCTTGCCAAGCGCTCTAGACCTTAGATTGCATACCTGCCTGATTCCTGTTGCTGCCTGTGAATCTGCCTGCTACCCCTTTGTACCATTGCCTACCTGGTTTGTTTGCCTTGTTTTGCACATTCCAGTAAAGACTCTTCACCTGCCATCACGTTGTGCTTTCACATCTTCAGTTTCTCAGAGCATGATATGTAGTGTTTAATCCATGGAGCTGGACATTAATTGTTTTTTTGTAAATAATAAAGTGTTATATTGTATGAAAATATCAGGCGTTGGAAAGAGGCATCAATAAATAAGCAATATAACTGCTGATAAAATTATTTATGTGAGACAAAGTGATAAAGGGGCATGAAGTGAATTTATTTTCTATCTTTCAACAGTGAAATCATTAGGTTGTTCATTTTTATATGACATCAGCATGATACTCTTTACTGCTGAACAAGTATTTGTGGTACTCTCCAAAACTCACCTGAAATTTCCCCTCTGGTTTTAGGTAGCATGTGGGAGGAGTTAAGGAAGGACAGCTTGGTGTCGGATCCACAAGTTACCACAGCAGCCCTGTCCACTACACCTGCCCTGCAGTACTCCCACGTCCAGACAAGCTGCCTGCAGGTCACACCTCCTGTCAGTCAGACATCAGAGGTGACTGCTGTCGGTCGATGTAAAGTGGAGTACCAGGTCGAGAACAGTGGCAGTGGACCACACTTAGAGCAGCATGGCTGTTTGAATGGACTGCATCCTGTGGTTTATTCAGGGGTGGAGAGCTTGGCTGGATATCTGACCTCCTGTACCACAACCATCTCTTTATTGTAAAGACCTGGTGGCTGATCTCCCTCCCTGACCCTTGATGTACTATATTAACCTGAATGGGAAATATTGTACCAAGTACCTTCATGAGTATTAGCTTGGTGGTTATTTAACCCACCAGATCCCCTGTTTACCACTGCATGACAGACTCTGTGGAGAAACTAGTGACAAACATATTCACTGTTTGTATCCACTGTGACCAAATGATGATGTTCAACTGATAAAAAATAATATAGCTCTTGTTATATATTTTTTTTCTGTTTCAATATGCATTTCTTCTCCCCTATTTTCTATTTGCAAAAGCAAATAATCTGCATTAAAATTGTGATTAAATTCCTTATTGAAAATGTTATTGTTAAATTTATTTGTGAATTTAGCTATTTATTTACCTTTTATAAGCTGTATTGTCACATTGATTTATAAATTTCACCTTACTGTGGTAGTAATTAATGGAGTTTTAAGTCTTTTTTTAAAAACAAACAATTGTTTTATTTGGTTATTTGTAATTCAATTTTCCTATCTAATTAAATATGAATTAGTAAAAATGTTCATCACTTTATTGATGCATTCATATATTTTACATTTTTGCCATTCATATAATTCCTTTAGCCAGCTCATATCAGATCAATTGCTTTATTTGTTAGCTATTTCCAAAGGTATACTTCTTTATTAGACTTTAAAACAAACAAACAAATGAACAAAACAAACACATAAAATGTTGGCGGACATCCTCTGCTTAAGCACCTGACTATGAACTGGCTGCAAGCTAAAACAAAGCGGCTGTAACTTGAGTCAACACAAGGGCCAAAAAGAAAACATGTGAATGCATAATTATCTCTTTGAATACGTTCATAATATTGTATTATTTGTACTAAAAACAAACCTTTGAGATTATTTTTTGTTTATTTCACAGTCAGTGACTTCACTGTTATGTGGTCTCTAGATAAGAAAAGCTCTGTTTGTTTACACAGAAGTCCAACAATGATGATGCTATAGGTGGTGTCATGGCAACAGTGCAGTAACACTGTTGTCACAGAAGATGGCAGCAAACACTATGCACCCTACAGCTTGTTCCTCTGATGCAGTCACATCTTTTACTTTTGGTACTCACAGTATGTTTCCTGCATTAATTAGGCTGATACACATTAGGAAAAACATTGAATTTTGACGACTTGCAGACATTATTTTAAACTTACACTATTTCAACAACCACTTACTGTACCAGTAAGGTCATAAACTGATTAAAGTGTTTTTTTTTAAGAAGAGATGAACATTTTTAAGTTACCTTCAACTCAAATATGTGTTTTTCTTTAATGTTACTTCATTTGGATGTTCGACTTTCACTTCAGGATGATCTGTGTGCAGAGTTTGCCACTCAACATAAATATGAGTTTGAGTTGTGTCCCAACAAGATTTTAGGTGATATCTTGCTTTGTGTAGCTTAACTTTAAAAATGAACAATATTTTATTCAAGGAATTTTGCATGTAGTTTTCTCAGACTTGCATACAACATAACTGGTGCGACTAACCCATCAAAAAGATCTAATCTAATATCTACACGTAAATCAAATTTAGTACATTATATAAGAACAAACATAGCTCTTGAGACCTGCTAATACAGCTCATGAATGGCAATCTTATATAAGCTATTATAATTTAGCCAGATGCAAATTATAACTACAAGCAAAGTATGTTTTTATATGTCTTAAAATGTAATTAAAATTATATGTTAATTCCCAAACCTGTGTTTGTTACATTTAAACAACTGAAGCAACATCTGGCAACTTCATTAGTTTTGGAATAAGTCCACTTCTCCTCCCCAGTAAATGTAATGAAACTAAGCTGACAAAGACAACAACACAATGCCAGCAGCATACTTAAACTATGGCTTTTATTTTCCTTGATTTTCATTCATTTAATTTTGAGCGGATAAGCTGTTTCTGGAATTACCTTTGTACTGATTCTGACTGTTAATAATCTTCATTGTTTTGATTATCTGTTGTCTGCTCAAAATGACCATATGGTTTGTTTTTCTTGTTCCATGTAATGTTTCATCTTTTGTGAAAAAAAGAAACAAAGAAACAAAAAAACAAAAACAAATGATGTATATCAAGATTTCGAAAAAAATCCCATATTTATTGCAGTGATGGAATTCAGCTGTCAAAACTTTACATACTTTTTAATTTTATACTTAAAACATTTATCATAAAGTATACACAGTGTTCAGTACTACAGAGAACATACTGGATATCAAAATTGGTATCTGACTTTTGACTTTTGGCTAATGTATGTTTTCTTACACTTCAAAATGGCTATTTCTTTAAAAAATACTCCTGGCGTAGTAGTACTATGAACATGAAAACATAAAACAAATGACACATTCACATAGACAAAGTACACATCTCTGTTTGTCATTCAACTGAACAGTGACAGATCATGGGAGGAGGACTGAATCATTCTCACGTGTGCTTCTACAAATTTAAGAACTTTCAGGAGTAAAAATGTAATGAGATTCCTATACAAACTATATAAATATACATCTGAATGGATTCATTATTATTAAACTTTTACAGGGTAACTTAATTTCTCTCTTTGTCTCCTGGTGTGTTTCAGGACAAACAAGACTCACTGTCTCCTCTTACTCTTCACATAACGGCTATCAAAACACACAAAATGTAAATTAATCAATGTGTTCCTGATGATCAAGTTGAAACCACATATACAGACTGAAATCAACAGTATGTACAGACACTGCATGTGTTTACTGCCCACACACTCGCTCACACACACACTGATGCAAACTGATGATAAAACTGGCAGAATTCAATGTTCCTGCAAAGAGGCAGAGGGAGAAATCTGACTGGTCAGGCGGCTGAATACCTGAATGGAAATACATGGAGTTAACAGGAGTGAGAAAAGAGTATTTACTGCCAGTGATTTGTCCATCAGTCCATCTGCTTCTGGTCCTGAAGTGGTACCTGGATCATGGAGAATGTCTAGAACAGGGGGGAGTAAAGGGTGGAGGGTGGAGGTCTTCCTATGGCCCCCCACTGTAGGAATAATCTGCCTTGTTGTGCATCACCAGCTTGTTGTCCACAAAGTAGAAGCTGTCAGACTGCGTCTCATAAGGATGCAGGATCATCTCACGCACTAAGAGAGATGGAATACACAACAATCAGGATTTTGTAACATCACCTCCTGTTAGATCTAATAAAACATCTGTATGTGGGCGTATTTGTCTCTTGTGCGTTGTGCCTGTGTGCGACTGCTGCGACACTCACTGATTTCCTCAGACAGTGCGGGGAACTCGTAGATGTGCTCACACGTGTTCTTGCTGCTGGGCATGCAGAAACCGAACTCGAAGTCAAAGCTCTTGAGCAGCTGATCGCGGAAGTAGTGTCTCTCAATCATGCGGAAGTTGTTGATGGGCGTGTCACCCACTGTGAACTCCACCCTGCAGAGACATGGTGAGAAAATCATTTTTACCAACCTAGAAACCACTCAAAGATCAGTTTATTTTAATTTATTTTGCAGATTTTGTCTGTCACTTGCAGCGTTTATGATAACATTTTACTAATCAAAGTAACTGCTGACATATGGGAACATCATTACAACAAAGAAAAACAAAAAGTCAGACGATCACACAGGTTGTAAACAAGTGAACAGTTGATCCAGATTATCTTAACTCTAAATTAAGTGTTTAAGTCCCACTGGTGGGACACGTTGGCCTTGGTAGTGCTGCTTTAGGTGTGTTTTGGTCTGTACTGGACTCAGTCTTTGCCCAACTTTGACAATCTATTACACATGCACAAATAAATTACTGGAAGCTCTATGACTTCTGATTCTATGTGTGCAAACTCATGAGGTTTTTGTAACTCATAAGATTTGCATAGCAAACCCCAGCTGTGGGTTGCATCTTCAAAGTTATTTTCATGATCTCACTTTGTGTCCAGAATGATAAAATGTTTGCCTTGGGTGAACTCAACTTTTAAATCCAACTGTTCTGCTCTTCTTTTCTCCCTCACTGGACGAATGTAAACAGTCCGCTGTGAAGGGCATGGCGGTAGTTAGCACAGTCTGTAGAAATACTGGATTTAAATGTTGATTTTGCACTGGTCAAACATTTTACCTTTTCTAGGTAAAAAAATAAAAAAACAAATGTTTTGATGTACCCCCAAGGTTTGTGTGAGGAACGCTGTGTGAATCATGGAGTTGATGTACACAGTGTTGAGACTATAGGTCAAAGTTGAACCAGGAACTGGATAATTATTGACTTTGTTTTTAATATGAAAGAAGTTTGACTAACTCTGGAGTTTGTTTGCAACATGTCTGTGGACTGTTCATGTAGTTGATCCATCTGACCTCTTTTCTCTTTTTAGCAATGCCACTGCATTGCCAGAGCAGTAATTATTGTAACTCTGTGAATACAACGTAATTATTTCAAATAAGAATGACAGTGAAAACTATATAAAATTATCCCTTAAAATGGTTGCCCAGAGCAACAGTCAACACATCTCTTCCCACATGCTGTGTTGAAAAAAAAAACATAAAGTCTATATAATTATAAGGTGCACAAAACACATTATATCTAATATACACTGAGCTTTTTCATTAAGCCTAGATTATCTAGATGAGTCAGTTGTTGGGTTGGATCGCAGTCACAGTGTAGGAGTCTGATGATGAGCAGTACTCAGGAGCACTGACAGCTACCTGGTGCTTGAGTCAGCAGGTGGGCTGGGCTGCTCTGTATGTTCACACTCATCATTATCAGCCCCTGTCGTCACACACTGAAGCCCACACACCTCCTACATGAAGTAGGTGTCCTCTGTCAGAGTAGCGGGGTAGAACAGGACATTATTGCATCAATGCGCTTATTCACAGTCTCAGGACATTTGTCTCTATCTCTCTGTCCCTCTCACGCAGTCTTCATTTCTTATTTGGAGGAAACAAATACACACTGAACTTTCACTTACGTGGCTCCAACCTGCCGCAACTGCAGGAAGGCTGGGGTGAACTGGTATCGGACAAAACGGCCAGCGTTGGGGTCACAGTGCTTTTTACCTCCCGCTTAAGTTTAAAAGAAAAAAAAAAAAGAAAGAAAAATGCAGCCAGGGCTTTGAAATCAAACTTCTCCAATTCATTATTTCACAGAGTGAGACAAATGTTGTTGTTTTTTTGTTTTTTTTAGTGGAGCTATAGCTCACTGTACACACAATCTTTTCCTCTCACAATATTATGGGCCTGTCAAGATAAAAATCCATTATTACATTTTCTATTATTATCATCAATGTCCTCTGCAGCATCACGGG